TCAATTGTGGAAATCCCGGCGTCTTTAGCATTTAAAAAAAAAGTTGGCATTTTTACACAAATATCACCTTAACAGAAATTAATTACTTGTTAGGCACTGTTTAAGAAAATTTAACGATCTAGCATATTTTAAATACTTTCTATAAAATTATTCCTGCATTAAATTACACAATACAATTATGTCTATCAATTACTACTTGACATTTTCTGATGCGTTTTCGACTATTTCAAAATCCTATACGTATAGTATATTCTAGGATTTTGAAAAATAATTTTGCAGAATGGCTCGACACATTCACCGCATAGGATTTTGAAAAATAAATATTAGTTATAAAACTTTTATAAATATTTTTCAAAATCCTATGCGGTACATGTACCGCGTCTTTCTGCAAAATTATTTTCAAAATGATGATTTGTAATATTTTATAAATTTATTTATATTTTAAATTACTTAACCTCAAAGTTTCCTAGAATATATTATACGTATAGGATTTTGAAATGGTCAAAAACGCATCAGAAAGTGTCAAGTGGTAATTGGTAGATATAATTGTATTATGTAATTTAATGCATGAATAATTTTATAGAAAGTATTTAAAAATATGCTAGATCCGTAAAATATTCTTAAACATTACCTAACAAGTAATTAATTTTTGTTAAGGTGATATTTGTGTAAAATAACCAATTTTTTTCCTGGAATCCCATTAAAGACTCCTAGAAATCCATCTAACAATGAACACCCCTGAAGACGCCGAGAGATTCCAAAATTCTATAAAAAACACCATATATCAAAAATTAATCAGATAAATACATTACTTTAGGAATTAAAAATTCCCACATCATTATTTTGACACTTTTGCCCCCCTAAGGCTGCCTTAAATTGCATAAACCGAAACCCCTTTTTCAAAATTTTGAATTAGTCAAAGGTCTTTCATTTAATAAACAATTCAGTCAGAGGTCTTTAAATAAGGATTGTTAACTTCCAAAAGTGTGACACGTGTGAAAGTTAGTAAAAAAAAGGAAAAACTCCCATTTAATACTCTAACTATTAGTTTTATTTTATTTTAATCAACCAACCAACCAAGGATGGAGTCAAGATCAAATATTGGGAGAGATTTAATTTTAAAATAATAAGGGCTTGTTATGTATTTAATCTAAAATTTGAGGGGACAAAAGTCTAATTTTACTTAAATTTAAACTAATAAAGACCTAAAATGATATTAAACTAAAAATTATGGGAGGGGCAAGAGCCCTTCCCACTCCCCATATAGCATTGTCCCTGCAACCAATTATTTTTTTTAAAATTATATTTGACGTTTAGTTTTCAAAATCAATGAATAAGGAAAATCAATTTTTTAAATCATCAAGGAAAATCAATTTTAATTAAGGCAAATTACAAATTTTATCACTGAGCTTTAAAAGTTTTCAATTTCGTCATTGAATTTAAAACATTGAGTTTTTGTCACTGAACTTTACTCCATCTCTCATATTTTGGTCACTCTGTCGTTAAATAGTTAACAACATCATTTAGAAAAACAAAATTTCTACTAAAATGACGTCGTTTTGCATCTACATAACTATCTATTTTAACATCGTTAACTATTTGGCGATTGAGTATAAAAAAAAATTAACATCTTAAGTTCAATGAGAAAATAAAAATGATTTAAAGTATAGCGAATGAAATAGGAGACAGTGAAATTCAGTTACCAAAATTTTCATTTACCCTTTAATTATATTTACTATACGAGCGGTGGAGCAATTGGAGGATTATAATCTCTGTACTATTATATAATTATTCTGACCTTGCTTTAATTACCTTGAAAATAATTAGGTACACCTTTTAATTATTTTATAATATATATATATATATTGTTAAATTAAAAGTTTTAATGATTAATTAGTGAGAAAGAGAAAAGGCACTTTCAAAATCTCAGCCGTCCACATAGAGATGATATGACAATAATTAATATTTTCCTTTTAATGTAAAGTTCTATTATTAGAATTCAAATTCATAATTTATATATATTTTATCAATGATTAAATATATTATCTTATAATCATTTTTAAATGGTTAAACAATTCACTGCTGGTATTTTAATTAAAAATTGTTACCCATTAAACTATAATTTTATAATATTAAAAGTTTAATAGCTAAAAAGATCTTTTAGACATAATTTAAAGTATACGTATATATTTTACTCTAAAAATTTATATTTTTATCCATCTTGAAATTGTAAAAATATGTCATTTCACTATTAAAATAAATATTATTTGAATAAATAAAAATGTAATTTAGCCCCGTATTAAAGTAGTCGATGAAGGACAATTAGTTGCAATTTTAATATTTCTGGTTCGGGTCGGGTCAGATTCTTTTAAAGGTGATGTTTCAGTTGAGTCGGATTCGGATTTATGGCGAAAATTATCCGACATGACCCGAAAAAAATATAATTTTACCTTATATAGTTAGGAATAATTACAACAATATTCTTCTATATATTATTTTTTTTCAATCAAATCACTGTTTTTATTAAATAAAATAATATTTTTATTATTTTGAGTCAGGTCTGATCAGGTTCATATTTTATCTCAAAAATCGGATCGGGTGGAGGGTATATATTTTTTGGGTCGGGTCGGGTCGGATGAAGGATGTAAAATTTTTGGATCGGGTTAGGTTGACCGAAACCCGACCCATGCCCATCCCTACTTGTACTTAATATAAAACAGTTAATTTTACATTTTTTTAGGATCATTAGATAAATAAAAATAAATCGTATATATATTTTTATATAAATATCTTCTAATTCTCCTAATATTAATTTTAATTGTCTATTTTCATTCTCATTAACTAATTTAAACAGTGTGAACAAATCTAATTTCATTTATAAATATTAAAGAATATATATTTTTTAGAATATAAATAATTAATGTAATTAGTAAATGGTGAGAGTTGTATTTATTATAAGGAATGATTCTCAACTATAAGGATACTATTTATTAACTCTATAGAATATTAAAAGTTATAAAAATGGTCATCAAATATAGAATATTACTTTATTAAGTCTCTCAATTATTAAAACATACAAAACGATAACCCGATTATTTATTATGTTCAAAACTCGTCTTTTTATTAAAAATATAGTGGTAGTCGAAGCTAGACGTTAACATGATACCTAAAATATGATAGTCGTTTGAGATTCTGAGATCATATTTTATTATATCACAATTAGCGAGTTAAGGTTCAGTTCAAAAAATCATTAATTTTTTTAACAAAAATGACAAGTTTATAACCTAATGAATAGTCGAGTAATGATTTTATAACTTGTTTACTTTACTCCGGTTATAATGTGAAATATGTAATGGTGGAGTTGATAGACTCCCATGATTTGGACAAACAAACCATGAACCGACAAAAGAATTAATTAATGGGTAATAATTAGTTGTCCTCGATACTTTAATGGACATGCTATTTTCATTCTTGATTTGATTAATGACTGATTCACTATAGATTTTATTTTATGGCTATTTTATTCTTATAAATATAATAATGATTATAATTATAAGTAATATAATTCTAATGAAGATTTACGAGTATAACTATAAATATAAATATAAATTAAATTATAATTTAGACATTTTCTTATAACAATTAATACAAAAATTAGTCACTTAGATCACACAATGATCATTAAAGGAAAAGGTCAAAGAACCTAATCAATGTTCGAATAAAATAAAGATACGAACAAATCTAACTGCATTGATAAACAAACCACAAAAGACAATGAAGCTACTAAAGGTCACTCACAAGTAACAAATCACAAATTAGAGTCAAAGTACGTAAGAAAATCATCCACGAACGCAAAACGCGTATCCAAATAAATATGAGGGCCCAAAGCAGGGAATATCATCATAATAGCAAATAAGCGACATCTTGATCAGTCGTGGCGATGTCAAATCAAACCCTAAGAAAAAAGATAAACGAAAACAACAGCAAAAGGCCGTAAACTACCAAAAGACAAAGAAAAACGTGTCACAAAAGTAAAGATAAACGTGTCATAAAGGCATATAACATGTCACAAAAACATAATTATTTTTATTACAAAAATAAAAAATAAAAGAAAAAAGATAATTGACATCAAAACTAGTGTCGTTGCCGGTTAAACAAAATTAAAGAAGAAAAATTTGAATTGATAAATAAAATTGACACAAATTGTAAAAAAAAAAAAAGAAAGATGAGGATAAGGAAGAAAGCGACTGAGGTTTTTTATATCATAATAGATTTATATTAGAATTCGTAAAACTAATTTTATTTACTATTGGTTAATTATCATTATTTAAAATATTTTAATGAAATAATTTTATTAAAATGAAAATTAAAGAAATAAATAAGAAAAAGAGAAATACAACTCAAAGTTAGTTTATAATCAAGTTAAAATTGAGATTAAATATTTAACATGTATTTTTAATAACAAAATTTTAATTAAAAAAGTTGAAAAAGTGATAAAAGAAAAAAAGTACAATTATCGTTCGTGGTAGTTGTTTTCTTAAAATAAACTTAATTAGTTAATTGTAAGGTCAAATTATGGTTTTGGTTTATGTACCTTTTTTATCTTCAGAATTCAGTCCCTCTAATTGTCTAAATTAAAAACTGAAGTCTCATTGACAATATTGATAAACTTACTTTAAAATTTAAATCAAACGTTGAAATATCGAAGTTTAACTTAATCAAATTTAAAGAAAAATACATTAAGAGTACTATCAATTGCAAAATTTTCAATTCAGACAATTACAAGTGTCAAATTCATGAAAATAAAAAGACTAAGTTTCGAAAGTTTGAAGAATATAAAGATTGGGGATATAATTAAACCTAAATGAAAGTATGCATCATGTATGAGTTATGTTTAGATACGAGTCCAATATACAAGGGCCGAATTAGGATGAAATTATCGGACGGGTCAAGTTGTTTATCTTTGAAATTAAAAAGGTTCTAAAAGATGATCAAATCACAAAAAATCAGCCACTATTAATATAGGATGAGGCGTTAGGTCTAAAGTTCATAGCATGACATTACAAATGAAATAAATTAGGTCGATAAACAAATATTTTATAGTAAATTTTTGTAATACCTACCACATAACCTACCACATATGATCATATGGTTATTAAATGAACTAATAATCAAATATAAATTAACCAACGAGAGAAAAAAAAGGCAAACGATAATTATAAAATTAGGTTCATTAATATTGAAATTTTACATTTGACGGTTCACTCGCAATAAGGAATTCAAATAACGGTCGAATAGCGATATAACCACCGTTATATCGTGATCGTGATGACGTTCGAAACTGTTGTCGTGAAAAATAGAGGTGTTAAGCGGAATCACACTAATAGCGATGGATCACGACCATTATTTAACATATAGCGATAAATCACAACAATAAAGAGCCGTCATTATGTTGTTTTATTTTTTTTAATAAAGTAGTTTTTTTAAATCAACTCATTAAAAAAATTAACGATTACGATACACACAATGACTGCAATAACATCCATTATCTCTAGGGATGGCAACTCAATCCGAATCCGATGGGTTCCGACCCGACCCGATCGGGTCGGATTTTTTTAAAAAAAATTCGGGTTCGGGTCGGGTCGGGTCGGTTTTTTTTAAATGCACGGTTCGGGTCGGGACGGGTTTAGGGTAAAAAAAATCCGACCCGACCCGACCCGAAAAATATATATAATTTTATCTTATATATTTAGGGATAATTACAATAATATCCATCCATATATAATTTTTTTCAATTAAGTCACTGTTTTCATTGAATTAAATTTTTTTTTATTATTTCGGGTCGGGTCGGGTTTCTAAGTCATATATTTGGGTCGGGTCGGGTCGGGTCGGGTGAAACATTAATTTTATCGGGTCGGGTCGGGTCACGGGTGGAGAACCCTTTCTTCTCGGGTCGGGTCGGGTGGCCTAAAAACCCGACCCGACCCATTGCCATCCCTAATTATCTCTGTAACCACGATAAATGTAACACGATCGAAAATGCAACTACAACAATAAATTAAATCCCTGTTTAAATTATTAAATATTTTTTCCTGATAAATATATCATTTATGAACGACTAATTCAATTTTTTCATCGAATCCTATTAATTGATGGGATTGGTTTAATTAAATAATTTTTTCTGATAAATACTTTCAACTGAACTAAAAATATTAAAAACATAACATTTAAATTCCGTGAAACCTAAAATATTATATTATTTATAATATTTAAGATTACGCATTTCCTTAATCATATATATCTCACATTAGAATCAATCTATTCTTTAGGGACAAAACTTCAAATACATCACTGTCTATGCTTTATTCAACACAAAAAGAAAAACCAATACGTCGAAGCTTCCATGCTCATTGAGAACGTGGTTTCCACGCGCTAATTGACCGGAGTGTTAAGACGAATTTTATCAAATGATTAGGGACATGAATTTTTTCAATAAGATAGATTTATAAAATTGTATAAAATATAAATATATTATTAATAAAAAAAGAAAATAATTTAAATTATATAAAATTTTAAAATCCTCTGGATCCATGCCAAAATATAATAAATTTTTTATTAAAATAATGCGACAGCTTTGGTCTCAAGTTTTGGTCACCAATTTATCGAATCAAAATATATATCGTGGTATGTGATAAAAAAGGAGATATATCGTGATATGATACAAAAAGAAGAGATTATTATAACATATTCTTTTAGAAATTTAAATTGTCAGTTGTCAGTCATCAAGCAGTGGGTCTTTCAGCTGTAGCTGAGAAAGTGGAGTTCAGCAATCAATCACTTTCTCTCTCCTTTTTTTATTTTTTTAAAAATATGTTTTTTAAAAATTATAAAATATGCATTATTATTTAATAATTTTTATCTGAATTTATGGCTTATTAATAATATGTACACTAAAAATGTATTTTATTGATTTTTAAAAATTAAAATTTTTAGACTTGATCATGATAATTTTAAATGTTTTAAAAAATAAATTTAATTAGATATATATTTTGGAATTATTTGACTAAAGATTTATAAAATATATTTTCTCATATTTTTATCAATAATAAATTTTAAATAATAATGAGTCAAAATTAAAAAAATTGACCCAAAAAAGTAAATAAAAGACATTTTAAATGGGTAAGAGGGAGTATATCATTATAATTATGATCGATCTTAAATTTTAGGATAAGTTATGTGTCTAGTCGTCTAATTATTTAAGCGGATTCATTTCGGTCGCTCAGTTATATATATTTTTAAATTATATTTAATGTTACGTTTTATTTTTATTTTAAACACATGCTATTATAAAACTAACATGATTGCGAACTTGATATACGTTGGCTCTCGTACTATTTTTTCTCTCAATGTGACCCTCTAACTCAAAAAAGGAACCCAATGTGACCGTTTAACCAACATTTTTTTTACCAATAACTCAGTTAATTCCTACTAATGTGGATGCTTTCTCAAATCTGTTACGAAGAGAATACTACTTGTGGTTGTTGGTAAAGACAAAAATAATTAGTTTGCGGTTGCATGGGAAGTTGCTGAAGAGAAGAAAAAGAACCATCGAGATGATTTTTGTAAAAATTTATGGTTAACTTAGAGTATCACAGTGACGAAAGACTTAAACTAATATTGATCAATGACAGAAGACGTTGGTCAAAGAGTCGCATTGAGAGGAAAAATAGAACGAGGGCTATATTGGGTTTTTTTCAAAAAAAAGTGCATGGGCTTCGCGTACCCTTTTGCCTATTTTTTTAATAATGACGTTATATTGATACATCACCATAAATTTTTAAATATCAGGGATTTAAAATAAAATTAAAATGTAATATTATATATAAATTTTAAAAAAAATAATTGGATGAATAAAACTAAATAATCCTAATAATTAGGTGAAAAGAAAATCTTAGATTTACGAGCTAAATCATTGTTGTATAAAATAGATATACAAAATATAAAGGCATTATTATATAAAAAACCAAAAAATTCATTTTTTAAGAGTATCTCATAAGTAGATTTGTTAGAAAAATACCTCAAATTGCACACATAAAACCAACTTGCGTCCTACGATTCAGAGGAAAGGCATCGCTTTGTACAAGACGCGAGGTACGTCCAACGTAGACGCACTTTTCAAATAACACAATTTAATATTAGTATTAAATACCTTGAGTTACGCAGAACGCGAGGTTCCTGAGATATTGCATCATCTTAAGAAATTTATCATGAGTAGTATTCAACATACCTAGCGTTTCCCAAAGAGCGAGGTATTTAGTTTTACATCCCAAATCACAAGTGCTTATAGGTATATTCGGGGGCATGCTCAGGTATTTAATCTAAACAATTTTGTAATTATAAGATTAGAGGCGTAGTATTAGAATTTATCTTTCAGTTGAGGCCAATATCGAGACATAAGAGATATTGTAAGCGGATTAAAAATCACCATGAAAATGGTTCCAAAGTTTTTTTTGTGCATGAAGAAAATACTAAAATGATTTAGTAGGCATGAAGGTGCGGATCATAATTAAATTTTTCAAAATGTTTTGATGATTTTTTTTTGCATGATACTGTTGAATCAACTTGGGAGTAAGTTTCACGAAAGATGCCTTACTGCTAACAATACTGAAGTTTTATATAGAAAAGGCATGTATAATTATTTTAGTGGAAAAAAATTCGGAATTCAATCTACATTGTTTGAAGCAAACAACCGATAGAGGTAATATCAACGTCATATATATCTATGACCTTATTATAATTTATTCCGGGAGTGAATGGAGGGATGAAATACTTCGAATCGTGAGAACTATCGATCCCACGAAAATAAATTTAGAAGTTATTTGTCCGAAGATGAACCCGTTTTTGAGGTTAAAGTCGTGACATCGTCACAACATTACATTCCCATAACAAATCGAAACATGCAATTGTCCTACCAACTGTTCGCGTAATTCATACCATCAACTTCGACAAATATATTATAACAACCTTGAGGTCTCTGTATTAGCAAGTTTTGAATTTATTAGCTTTAAATTGAACCCATGAGCACAATCAGAAAAGGGAGCGCATGACATGGCGGTTTAACAGGGAAAATGGTGCACGGACATACCTACCAACGAGGTACGTGGCATTGAGATTCTTTACAAGCTGTTGCATGAAGTTGCAGCAAATACCACATTTTCTTGCATGGTACACAGCCACCAGAAGCACGTATTCTGCATTGAATACCATGGCGGAAGAGCCCCTTCACTTTCCGACAATTTGGGTATTGGCAATGTGCAGAACGACATTGTGATGCATGCACCAAAAGGTCAAGCATTTTCCTCAGCTGAAAATTTCAAGAACCAATCCAGTTAGACGAACACATCTAGAATCTCGTGTTTGCAGAGTCAAACTCATTTTTCCAACCATCTACATGCACACGTTCTGCAATGGATGGATGATTTGTTAATTTATGAGGATGATCAATTCCCCCATCCTTTTGGTAACATACATTGCACACATCATAATCAGGGCAAACTTCGCAGCGCCAACCTTGGCCAGTTTCAATGTCCAGATGGCATACGTTATAGGTAGTGACAAATGCAGGAGCAGTTGGGTTGTGAAGATGGCAGAGTACCATCATCGAAGAATGTTTAGCCTGTCTTAGGGTATCATATTAATAGTTTAGATACTAAACACGTGCAGAACGACATTGTGATGCATGCACCAAAAGGTCAAGCATTTTCCTGCTGAAAATTTCAAGAACCAATCCAGTTAGACGAACACATCTAGAATCTCATGTTTGCAGAGTCAATCTCATTTTTCCAACCATCTACTTGCCAGATCAGATGGAAACTAACATATTTCGGGGAACATACACACTTTACAATTTAGGATATTTCAATGTTCAATTGCAGCAAGATTGATTTGATCCTGTCTCTACTACAAAGATCAATTGAACATAGATTAATGACCATTTATATAATGGCATAATAATAAAATTACACCAAATTTTATACTATGGTCGTTTTTTTTATCTCTTTTTTTAGCATTTTAGCTCCTGACGTTTTACTTTGGAGCAAAATATCTTATTGGTGGATGAAAATTGTTAGTTGATTAATGTTTTTTTATTGATATGGTAGGTCTATGTGTGATATCAATCATCAAAAGAATATTATTAAACTATTTTTAAATATATTTTTTATAACCGTATATATAATTAATTATAATTATAGTTTATTCTAAAAATAATTTTTTGCTGAAGTGGCATCACACATACTTGCCAAGTCTGGATATACATTGACAGTTAGTCAACTAACAATTTTCACCAAATCAGAGGATATGTTGTTCCAAATAAAACGTTAAAGTCTAAAATGCTCTAAAAAGATAGGGGGCAAAGTGACCATTCGGACAGACGTCGGGGTAATTTTATCAGCACACCTTATATAATATGCCTAATAATTAGGGGTGGGAATAGGCCAGGCCGGCCTATGGCCTGATCTATATAAAGTCTGGCCTGGCCTGACCTATTTAATAAAAAGGTTAGGCTCAAGCCTTTTTAAAAGCCTATTAAATTAAATAGGCCATGCTTAGGCTTATTAAAAAACCTTATAAGCCTGATAGGCCAGCCTATTTAGAGTGACTACTTTGTAAAATATACTAAGTTAGAGTGATTCAATATGGATTTTACTCTAAAATTAGTGACTAAATTAGAAATATTAAATATTTATTGTAAAATAAACTTTTAAACATGTCATATCGAGTTAAAATAAAAGACTTTGACAGACTACATGTCAGACTCAGGCTTATAAAAATCATCGTAGGCAAGACTCAGGCTTATTAAAGCCTGGCCTGGCCTATTCCCACCCTACTAATAATTCATTTATGAGTTGGATTTGGTTGAACCGGGTAGGCCCAAACGGCTAATTTGGCCCCGAAAATGATTTATAAAGAAATACAGAAGCATTAACAGATAAATAAACAGACGGTTCGCCATCTCAAAGTGAGTGCTCTTTCTCACCATCTCGAACCCTAACTTGTTTATCCGTTCTTTTAAATTTAATTTGTCTCTTTGTTTATCGATTCTCGTAGATGTACGTATTCTATTCGATCTCCATTACTTTCTTTCCCGGTTTCAATTTCAATTCGATCTCCGTTTGATGATCCCTTTGATACCCGGGAAACCAGTGGAGAATGAAAAGCAATGAATTTGATTGAGGGGGAACAATCTTTGGAGAAAATGAATCAACGGGGTTACTTTATTAATCTAGAATTAACTTTCTGATCAATGGGTTCATTCTGTTTGACTTGCCATTGGTTTCTTGATTTAATCTCTGATAACAGTTATAGTATATGCGATTTACTGGAACATATTGCCATTTGTTCGTCGATGGAATTAGTTATTTTGCATAAATCTGTGCATATCTCACTTACAGCATTTATTTTTGTTTGTCTCTGTGTGTGTGGTTTCTGTCCACGTGGTGAGGATTATAGCTATGTGTGTTTTCATGTGTATAAGGTTGTAAGGCAAAAATAATTGATTACTGTGTACAAGCATATGCATATGGTTGTGTCATTTTTGTATGTATGAAAGTTGAATTTGACAATACAACATGTAGTTGATAATTTTTTCCTGACTTACAGGAAATGGGAGTATACCTTAGTACGCCAAAAACTGAAAAGTTTTCAGACGATGGTGAGAATGACAGGCTTCGGTATGGATTGTCATCCATGCAAGGATGGCGTTCGACTATGGAAGATGCTGTGAGTTATCTCCTTAATCTCATTGTCTGACTTAATACACTGACTTTTAATCATTACTTGAAGTGATGGACCTCACCTTCGGTCAGTAGTTAATTGTACTTTATGCTTTTTCTATATCCAATATATTTTTCTTAACAATGTATTAAATGATATCTATCACATAGTCATGTCTAGTACATAATTAACATGATGTATGAATATTCTTAAGATGTTGTTAGTTATCATGAGCTTTTAAGTTGGGTGCTAAGATTGAACTATCACAAGGAAGCGGCTTTAGAAATTTCCTTGGTGCTTCCTATTTTTTAATATATATATCAAATCAATGTATCATAAACGCGGTTATATGTTAGTTTTCTGCTTTTCTAAGTAGATTAAAATGGCACGAAAATGAGCTGACATGTAATTTCTTATTTAAAATTACTTCATAGCTTGGTTTCTCTGTTAAGAATTTTACATTAAAAAATGCATCTGGTGTGGACATTGCTGATAAATGGATGCTAAAGAAATAAGAACATGATTTAAAAGTTGAACATAGATGCATTCATTTAGAACTACCAAAGATCCCATGCATAATAATGTGATATTTGTTTCGTAATGAAACATAAGTTTCCTTTTTTACTTTGTTGTATTTTTTTTGGTTGGGGTTATTTGTATAAGAAGTTTGTCCATTTTCAGACTACATTTGTCCTTTGGATTGAAGAATGAATCTTGCCAAATCTAACATTTGAAGGAAAGTAGAAAGTCCTACTTGAATATTTATTTTCGCTTCACGTGTGTGCATGCCTATTTGCATATGTTACAAATCTGACATATCTGGACTCACAAAATTAGGGAATTATATCCCTAATAATCTGGTTGTTGATCTTTGGGAAATTATTTCCCTAAAATCCTAATCAATATGCAAGTTGTAAATAGAAACAAGATATTCTATTGAAAATGCATAAAATAATCCTAAAATCCTAATCAATGCAAGTTGTAAATAGAAACAAGATACTCTATTGAAAATGCATAAAATAATCCTAACATTGTCCCCATCTTGTAGGGCATTTCTCACAAAATTAAACACTACCTAGATATGAGAAAATGCTCAAGAGGCACTTAGGAGTTGGGATTGGAAAAAAACCATGATTTAGGGAATGAGAGCACTTGAAAAGAATAGAACTTGGGAGATTGTCGAGCTACCTAAAAGAAAAAAATTATAGCTAAACTATACAGACCACTTAACTATTTAGCCCTTCTACTTTTGCCACCGATCTTTCAATTTGGTGTAGGACACCACTTAACTATTTAATTTGTTCAATCAAACCACTTCCTATTAATATTTGATGGAAATGCTGACGTGACAGCTAAAAGAATTGGTATAGTTATACATTTAGTTCTTAATATTTATATATTATCTCAACTTCGTCCTAATTTAAATTTAATTTAATAAATTAACCATTCAATCAAGATTTGACATGTGTCAGCATAGAATCATGACATGTGTCGTTAGTGACACGTGTTATCACTCGATTGGATAGAAAATAAAGGAGCAAGAAATTGCCCTTAGGTGGATTTGAACCAGCGTCCAAAGGGTTGATAAAGATCGCCCCAACCATTACACCAAACATCCTCAATGGTTTAATATTTACAACAAATTGTATTTATCCTTTTAAAGCTTGATAATGGTAAAAGAAAATAAAAGTATATTGAAATTAAATATAAGAGCACATAAATAATTAAAAAATCTAATATTTTGTTTATATATAAATACATTATATTTTAAAATATTATAAAAATATTTAACTTTAAAATATAAAAAAATGAAACTATAAAATATAATCACCTAAGTGATACGAAAATAAAAAATTATAAAAATATTAAATTTATTTTATAATTAATATTCCATTAATTATAATTTAAAAAATATATAATGTATTTAAATATAAATAAAATATTAAAATTTTAATTATATATGTGCTCTTATATTTAATTTCAGTGTACTTTTATTTTCTTTTATTTTCTTATATTTAAAAAGATAAATATATTTTGGTGCAGTGGCTAGGGCGTTGTTTATCTACCCTTTGGAGCTAGTTTGAATTCACCTAAGAGCAATTTCTTACTCCTTTATTTTCTATCCAATGTGTCACCACCCGATTGGATAGAAAAATATTTAATCAAATAAATTAAAATTAATAAAAAAATATACTCCAATCATGTATTGACATGTGTACATCATGATCCTATGCTAACACATGTCAAATCCTGATTGAATAGTTAATTTCCTAAATTAGGACGAAATTGAGAGAATATATAAATATTAAGGACTAAATGTATAAATATATCAATTCTTTTAACTGCTAAGTCATCATTTCCGTCAAATATTAACGACAAGTGGTTTGATTGAACAAATTAAATAGTTAAGTGGTGTCCTACATCAAATTGAAAGATCGGTGGCAAAAGTAAAAGGGCTAAATAGTTAAGTGGTCAACTGTATAGTTTACCCAAAAATTAATTGGATGTAAATAGGTGTTCACAATAAAAATATAATGTAGATGGGACGCTTGAGAGATATAAAGCACAACATGTTTCCAAAGGCTATGTTCTAACATTTGGGGTAGATTATGTATAAACTTTCGAACCTATTGCAAAATTAGAACTATTAGGATATTGCTATCTTTAGTGGAAAATAATAATTGGACGTTACAACAATTTGATGTTAAAAAATGCCTTTTTACATGGAGATCTAGAGGAAAAGGCTTTTATGGAGACACCACCTGGGCTTAATCAAGCATTTGGTACTAACAAAGTATACAAGTCGAGAAAGACACTTTATGAGTTGAAATAATCTCCAAGAGCTTGGTTTGGAAGATTTACCAAGGCTATGGAAGGAATGAAGTACAGACAGAGCTTAGATCATACACTCTTCATCAAACGATCAAAGGAGAACTAGATTTCTGCCTTAATAGTTTATGTGGATGATATCATTGTGACAGTAGATGATAATGAAGAAATCAACCAACTAAAAGACTGCTTATCCAAGGAGTTTGAGTTAAAGACCTAGGAAGAATCCAGTATTTCCTAGTAATTGATGTTGCACATTCAAAACAAGGGGTTTTTATCTCCCAACAAATGTATGTCCTAGACTTGCTCGGAGAAACAAATGTATCATCACAAGCTACGAGAAGCTGAAGACAGCCCAAAAGTTGACAAAGGAAGATATCAAAGGCTGATTGGAAGTTCATATATCTTGCTCATACAAGAGTAGACATTACTTAACCAGTAAACATTCTAAGTCAGTTTATGCACATTCCTCGAGAGGGGTACACTTGTAAGCAGTTACAAAGTCCTTCAAATCCTTAAGGGAGCTCCTAGCAAAGGAATTCTATTCAAAAGAAAAGGAAATCTCTACTTGGAGCTGTTGGAGGCATACATCGACGCAAATTTGGCTAGATCCATTTTAGAAAAAAAATCCTCTTCAAGGTATTGTACATTTCTTGGAGGAAACCTTATATTTTGGAGGAGTAAGAAACAATCACTTGTCTTTAGATTGAGTGCTGAAGCTGAGTTTCTAGCAATGGCTACTATGGGTAAGGATTGTATTAAGAAATTTGAGACTCAAACAAGGTGTTATGAAATTGTACCTTGGCAACAAGTCAGTTATCAATATTGCACACGGTCCTGTACAACATGACTGAACAGAACATGTAGAAATTAATCGTCATTTCAGTTAGGAAAAGCTTGAGAATGGACTCATTTGCACTACGTACATTCCTACCAAGAAGCAAATGAGCAACTGGTAGAAATCTTAACGAAGGGACTCCCAAGTACAACGTTTCAAAGTATCACCAACCAAATGTGAATGGAAAAAATCCCCTCAACAGCTTGAAGAGGGATGTTGGTAAATCTGACAGATTTGGACTCGAAAAACTAGGCAGTTATATCCCTAATAAACTGGTTGTTGAGCTCTAGGAAATTATTTCCCTAAAATCGTAGTCTATGCAAGTTGTAAAAAGAAACAAGATATTCTAATGTAAATGCAGAAAATAATATTGATATTGTGTAGTTAAAACTTTCCTAGATTACATTCCTTGTAAACTATAAATAGCTACTAACTATTGTCAGTAAGAGAAATAAGAGAATTTTTTTTCAGCCTCTTTGGAGAGTGATTACCTGATGCATGCCCGTCTGTGTTGGAGATCTTTATGTCTAATAGTTTATGGGATACATGTTTCCTTGATAAAATCACGCATTTGATGTCAATTTGTGTTTATTTCCATCTCTCTGAATGACTATTTATCTACCTTGGGATAAGGTAAATTTACCTTAAATATGAATTTACCTTGTGGTTTAACAGCATGCAGCTTATCCAGATCTGGACAACATAACGTCATTTTTTGGTGTTTATGATGGTCATGGAGGTAAGGATTTGAACTCTTTTTTCGTTTTATTCTCAATTACTTTTGTCAACAACTTTAAAGTTTCAACTCAAGTATTGGAGGAAAAGAAAAGTTTAGTTTTCTTGCATCAAAGATAAATCTGATGTAAACTTTTTTTCCTGTTTCTGGCACATAGTCTATCGCCACAAACTAATAAGCAGAATATAATGTTGACAGTTTTTTGGTCCTTTTAGCATAAAAATTCCTTGTTGAGCTATTTCCTTTTTTCAGTTCTAAATGATTTATTTGAAGGGAACATTTAGTGTCAAGTTGAGCCTGACAGTCCTTTAACAATTTGACTTGTGCTGATTCTCCAATTATCTTGGTAATTGTTCTCAATCATACCACTAAACAGAGTGAGTGAATAAAATGCACGTCTGACTGTTACGTCCCAGTTAATATTATTTGTAATGTTTCTAATTAGGAAATTTGGAGAGAGAATTTAAGTCACTTTAGTTGAGTAGGTAAAATATTGGTGTCTGGAAAGTTTACCTATTCTCAGCTGCTTACAACAGGATTATTACATTTGCTCTTATTCCCATTATTCTTTTTGGAGCTTTCATGATTTTAAAAGCCTTTAATTGAATTAGTTTTTCTTAGTCATTAAAGTATGTGGGCCAAGTCTTTTAAGTATTTTCTACGTGGTTCATTTATCTGCAGGTCAAGCAGTGGCTAAGTTTTGTGCCAAGTATCTTCATCAACAGGTGCTCAAGCATGAGGCATATTCAGCTGGAGAAATAGGGACTTCACTACAGAAATCCTTTCTCAGGTTAGCAATAATTCAATGACCTGTCATAGATCAAGCACAAGGGCCTTTGGCATGTAATATGGAGCATATGCTTGGAACTAATGAACATTACCACTCAAAGTTTGTTACTGCCTAGACACTGATGCAATTTATTTTCATAGGACTTCAATTTATTGGTTTTCCGAAGAGTTATCTATAGCTTTATTCCGGCTTCTATTGCTACTGTATCTTGGATGTTCAGACTATTCATTGTCTGGCCTTTTGGTTTTCTTTTCACTGTCATTTGAATTTGAAGAGTAGGATGAAATTCATTTCAGAATAAAACATATGACATGAATAAGGGTGCTTGTTGGTTAGTTTCTTCTTCTGCTATACATGTATCCAACAGCTGTTTTGTTGATCATGCAGAATGGATGAAATGATGCATGGACAAAGGGGATGGAGAGAGTTAGCAGTCCTGGGAGATAAGATAGACAAGGTTTCTGGCTTTATTGAAGAACTCATATGGTCTCCCAGAAGTGGTGCAGCCAATAAAAATTTTGATGATTGGCCTTCTGAGGAGGTATTTTTGTGATAAACAGCTGAGTTTCTTTTTATTGATACGAAAAAATTTCATTTTGTATTTTCCTTTTTGATCTCTAAGTGTCTGGTCTAGAAATTTTTCAAAGATATCCCATCTGCATGACTTGAAATATTTTTTGGTTGCTGTAACTGTCCATTCCAAGGAGTAAAATATGTTTTCAACTTACCAATTTTGTATGTTATCAACAGGTACAATTGTATGTTTATAGTTTTTTGTATTTGGTGTATTCTTGCATGATTAATCGATTTACAAATAAAGTTTGTTGGTAGCTTATTTGGTAAATTTGCAATAGTATCTTTGCAGTTTATATGGATATTTTTAATACCATTTTTCTTGTGAATATGAAAAACTTCAGCATATGATGTTAACAAGCAACATCACTTTTATGAAATAGACTTAATTGAAACAACTCTCTGAAGTATGCTAATTTAATTGACTTAGGATATAGTAAAGTTTCCTATATCGCTTTTGGTGCTAAATCAAGAGATTGATATTAACTGAAAGAAAGTTATCAGAAACTTCTTGAGTTGTTTGATAAGGCTTTGAGAAGCCTAAACAACTGAAGATGGATAATATAAAGCAGAAGGAAGATCTTTGTTTGAACTTTAGGATTTTATTAAAAGGAGCTTAATATGAAGTGGATTGTGGAAAGTAATAGAAGAAGCATGCGGATGCTTTTTCTAAGGTTCAAATTGTTGTTTCTTTGCTGTTTTGACTCGCAGCAGCAGAAAACTGAAAATATGATAGGAATGAATTTTCAGTCCAGTGTACAGTTTGGGGTTGCATATTTAAGGAATATTTAAGAACCTTACTGCCGCTGCATCAGACAGCTCGAGCATATTCTGCTGTTCACTAGGATTCTGAATTCTTGACATAACTGGCTTGTTTGTATCACTGCTGGATGTGATTGACTACTAATTATTCTAGTTATAACCATGAAAGCTTGACAAATCTTCACTTTGTTATATAAATTGCATAAAAACTAACTCTGAATAGTTGTTGCTTTATCGATATGTGGATAACAAACATGTATTATCTGAATATACTCTAAAGGGTATGTTTGACGTTGTTAACTCCCCTTGTGGAGTCTAAAAACTCCACTAGTGGTGAATGAGATCATATAGAGTCTGAGCAAACTTTAAGATGATTTGTTTAATTCTTTATGTAAGAAGCTTTTATTTGATTCATTAAATCTCTATTTAGCCTGAGCAATTCTAGATGAAACTTGTTTTGGTTTGGAACTAGGGCCCTCACTCTGATTTTCATGGACCTAATGCTGGAAGCACAGCCTGTGTTGCAATAATTAGAAACAAGCAACTTATTGTTGCCAATGCCGGTGATTCCCGCTGCGTAATATCTAGAAAGGGTCAGGTACATTTTTTCCCCTTTCTGCTGAACTATGAAAATACAACATTTTCATCTATAGAAACTTCTCTGAAAGCCTCTAAAAATTGTGAGGTAAGGGATGTCTGCTTTTAATATCAATTAATGATTTGAATATAGTGGTCACTATATTTGCGGCTAAGGTAGTCTTGAAGGCATTTATCCGTGCTCCTTTTTTTTCTTTACCTCTCCTTCAAATATGCACATGGGTTCCACTTCAAGGTGGCATAGTTTTACTGGTGTGATTTTCGAGATTTATTCAATAAAATTTTATTTTACAGGCTTATAATCTGTCTAAAGATCACAAGCCTGACCTTGAGCTGGAGAAAGATAGGATTCTGAAAGCTGGTGGTTTTATTCAAGTGGGACGTGTCAATGGAAGTTTGAACCTGACTAGGGCAATTGGTACCTTCTAGATGCCAGTTTAAATGTTTTCTATTGATGAGAGATTTTAGGTGCTGGGAGAGGGGGAAATGGATCTTATTTCAATTCCTCGTTGATCTGTAATTGTCTTTTGCTTGCAGGAGATGCGGAGTTCAAACAGAATAAAACCCTGCCAGCTGAAAGGCAGATTGTAACAGCTTTTCCAGACATAAACATTGTGAGTAGCTATTTGCTTTAATATGTGGGTAATTATTCTAACTCATTTTTAAATTTCGATAATGATCAATTGATTTAATAAAGGAACTATCCTTTGTTTTTAATATTTATTGTCAAAAATTTTAAAAATAAGCTATCTTTATTGTAAGTTTAGTACCCCAGATGCATATATAAAACTTCTGCTTCATCAGAAAATCAAGATCTCATTCCCATTGATATTCGTATCCACCCCTTTCCCTTTGTTTATACTTAGTTTTTGCCCTCTTTGAAATAGGTTGAGCTTTGCGATGATGATGAGTTTCTTGTTTTAGCTTGCGATGGGATTTGGTAAGTGAATTCATACGATTGTTTCTTTTGCAAGAACTTGCATCTTTTCACCCTCTGTAATCAAGTTTGGGTCCTACCAGGATGACACATTAAGCTGGAGTGGTTGGTGAGGATGGGATTTGTGTAGCCATACCTAACTCCATGGAACTAAGATTACATACATGTATATACATATATGTGCATGCCTGCTCGTACTTGTGTATGTAGGTGTTGTGCCTGGTGTCTGATATTCTCTGTCAATGTTGAACTCAGCCATCACATGTCCTCGTATGTCGAGCCAACAACTAGTGGATTATGTTCGAGAGCAGTTAACCTCTGTAAGTTTGGTCTCCCACTAAGCATTTTAAAGCTCCGTTAACCCAAAAGTATTTATCGATCACTCTTGAGCCTGCTGAATTGACATGTGCATTGACCTAACATCAATCTCGTTTTCCCTGTGCAGGAAAATAAACTCTCAGCTATCTGTGAGAGAGTATTCGAAAGGTGTTTGGCTCCAACAGCCGGTGGTGAGGGATGCGATAACATGACGATGATCCTTGTTCAGTTCAAAAAGCCTATTGGTTTGGGCTCCTCGGAGGAGCAACAACAGCAGTCATTGACCGATGAAACAGCCACCGTAGATGAAAGTGCATCAGGATCTGTGTCCGGGGTGACAGATCAAACAGCCACCGTAGATAAAAGTGCATCAGGGTCTGGATCTTAAGAAATCATATTAGCCCCCTTTCATATCTGACCTGTTTCCTTCAAAGATGTCAGCAGAAGACGAATACTGAAGTTTCACATTTTAGGAAGTGATTTTCTTGTGATATGATTGTTTATATGTATAGTGTTCCAGCTTCCTTCCATTGAATATATCCCTATCTGTTAAGGGAATTTTTTTTTTGTATCTGTCAGCCTTTTTTTCTCTCTGAAATTCCTCATGAGATACCAACATCACGTGTCATTCTAGCAATTAATGCTTCATTTTGTAGGACATTGTTTCCTCCAAATGAGTGTTTTTACAAGATTGACCACTAAGATTTGTTTTGCATTTTCTAAAAGTTCTTTGACATCATAAAAAATGTCAGATCATTGCAAATCGTGGACTTTGTTGTCAGTTCAATATGTTTCTTAGCTAAATTTTTTTAATAAAACCAATTGGAAAATGGATATATTATTGGGGTTAGGACCACAATGGATTACAGTAATCATAACATAATAATTAGAATGAAAGTAGGAAAAGAAATGAATGCTAAAATTTCCTTGTCATTGGAAGACAGGTACATAAGAGTAGTGAGATTATATGAAATGCATCAAATGATCCTAATATGGTTAGCCAGATGGACTTCTGTTCCAGGACAAGTAGGATGGATCACCAAGTGGTCTGCCAATTATCCAACACAGAATTGATTAATATGTGTGTATATATATATATATGAAAAAAGAAACTTACCTTGGCTTGACAACATAAAGAAGTATGAAGAACACTGCTAGAAACAAGCATAGCCCTCCAACAATAATATATGCAATTCCCAAGAAATCATTTTTCCCACCCATCCAGCTTGTGGTTGAAAGCACCAACTTCTTCTTTCCCCCAAAACTGTAGGTGTTGTAATTGTTCTGTATTACCACCTCTATTTTCTTGTTCGCCGGGAGGTCCTCCTCTATCCTCCCGTATAGTTTTCTGAACGACGGTAGAGCCGCTGTCCGCATCCATACCATCAGGTCCTCTTGTTTACTTAACTGCATCCACAGAACATCATTTATATCCTCTCCCTCCAAAGCGAACCAAATATTGTTTAATGATACGAACATAACAAGCATATGTTGTACTTACCGGTAAGGAGGAGTTGAGTTTTGCACCTCCAATCAACCCTCCACTCTGGAAATTTTTCGGATACACATCCTTTCCGAATTTATGATCCTTGTCACTCTTCCACGCTATGTCATGTTTGTTTACTTTTATCGTCTTACTATCCAATGAAAACCCATATGTGTCATTAAACAAACTCCATGCAACGAGGCCACAGGGAACAATCGGACCGTTCTTTGTTTTGTCTTCAGGGGTACAAGCCTTTATGTCATTCTCACCTGCCTTGCTCCTCAATTGTTTATCACTCCGACTTTTTACGTAACTGCAAACCATTATTCAGCATTTATAAATATTTCGAAAGATGAAAACTCAGAAAATATTGAAAGATTTTCGAAATGAAGCACCATACAAGGAAATGCATAAGACAGACTATCAAATCTTTTCATGAAACAGTTATATGCCTAAATCAGATCTTCTAAATCCAACAAAATGTAAACATTCATGAAACTTAACCACAGAATTCATAAATACGTATAAATAGAGAATTTTGTTTTGAATATGATTTCACGCACCGGCGATGGTTTTGGTAGTAGTTATCAAGCTGATAATAGATATAAATAGGCTTTTTCATCAGCTTAGGGACCTGGCAAAAGAGGAGAAAAAGGATAGTTTAATGCTCATTAGCGTATCCGACATGTTAAGATGAAATGTGGAGGAATACGTAAAACAGATACAAAAACAGAAATCCCTCGAACACTATGAACAAGAAAACCAAAATAGGATACAGAGAAAGCTTCAGACTAACGGCTAAAATCCTAACGCAAGACTTGTCAGTATGAGCGCTTTGGATAAATTTAAGCTTATCATTGGAATAATTAGGGGGAACACAACTGTCATCATAGCGATCCACAATTTCCACCACCTATATATACATCAAAACAAAAAAAGATTTTACGTTCAGCACGGATCGAATAGCAACGAACGAACACATTTGGAGACAATAAAGTGTAAAGAATGCACTACGTGCTCCGACGTGGACAGTGATACAAGTCCCAATGGGATGAAGACCATTCCGATGATTGTAAATGCTGCAATGACCTGAAAATCCCCCCAAAAATGGAAGCTTGCATTAAAATAAACGTGAAAGAAAAATCATAGCTTCCTCCTTCCTATGAATCTAAGGCATAATATATGAGTTCAAGTACCTGATCTAATGAAAGTTCCATCCATCCATACATGCATGCATACCATAGACACACATATACATATAATATGTATAAACATATACATGCAACATACATACATGCATATACATGTAACATACATACACATATACATGTAGCATAAATACATACATACACAAAGAAGATAGAGAATCTGAGACATACCAATCCAGGTGTAAGAACTGGTTTGCAAGCAGGAAGCTCTTGCTGGGTGAACCTAGAATCTGCAACCCCAACAAAACAAGGGTGAGAATTTACCACAAGACATTCTTGATTCGCAAAACTATATTAAAATCTTCATTCACCAAGGAACAAATTATCAATAACAGGACATTGAACTATATAATATCCCAACCAAAACCCAGAGCTTCTTTTCCTTCTTATTTCCTCATTGGGTACTATAAGCCACATTGAGTCCAATTTTAACAGATAGATAAAAAAATTTCAAGAAAAAAGGAAATTGAATTAAACAAAAAGAAAAAAAAAACAATTCAGCATTGTATTACACTTGCGAGATAGATTAACCGGTAAAGGGAAAGAAAGGGAACGTACATTGGGTTTCCTTGAATGCTTCTTGGCGGAGATTTTGAATTCGAATCACCACCAGCGGCGGAGATCGTGGTGGCTCCGTTAGCATCCATTATGTAAATTTGTCGTGAAAATATCAAAATTCACTTCTTTTTTTTCTTTCCCCCGGATCCCTATGCGAACCCCACACTATAATCTTTTTATACGAGTGTTTGTTTTTAGCACGTTAGTTTCGAAGGAAATAAATTAAAAATGAAAATCAAGAAAGTTGGAACATAAAACGACTGGAAAAGAGAGAGAATCGGACCGTGCATGTACTTATAACAACCCACCTAACCTATGGATACCCGCAGTTTCGAATAGGGTAAATTACATGGGTGAACACCAAACTATGGTCAAAACACCAAACTATGGTCAAAATTCATTTTGACTACAATATTTCAATTTGATTAAAAAGACCACCCAACTTTGTAAATAATTCATTCAGGCCACTCTCCATTAAAAAATGGCGCATCTAGGCGGTGTAGATGAATGGATTTTATATTATTGTTAATGCCAGCTCGGAAAAAAAATAAAGGACAGTTACCTACTTGTGGGACAGATAAATATTGCGGTTGGCAATTCAATTGTCCGTCCAGCTCAGTTGGTAGAGCGCAATACTCTTAATCTTGTGATCGTGGGATCGAGTCCCACGGTGGGTAATTCATAATTCTGACTGTCGGAGGTCTCCAGAAGCTGCTCTTAACCTGACGTTGGGGGCATCCTACTATCCTACCTCCCTTACCCCTTACATATGAGAATAGGTCAACCAATTTGATATACCAAAAAATAGCCTTGAGCTAGTGATTGAATTGGTTCCTTATCATCTAAAGGGGCAGAGGTTTGATTCTCTCCACCCACATTGTATTACAATTTTCATTTGACTTTATGCTTTCTCGTTGCTTGCTTTCGTTGACTTCTGTGTATCATTCTCTTCATGTTTTCTCTTTTTAAATTTAATCAGGTCTTACGTTTCTGTCTATATACAGAGATTTTTTCGCAGGAATTTATTTGCATAGATTACTTTCCATTACATAAGCGCATATGAAGACTGTTTAACTATGTATTTATTTATTTATTCATTTATTTATACATGCATTGCATTTATCTTTATTTTTAATTTTCTGCTGCGGAGGTCTTAACTGAAATGTTCTCAACCTGACATTAAGGGCACCTACTACCTGTCTCCCCTTACCCCATTGCATATGGAAATAGGTTTTTGTTGTTGTTGAAGACGTTTCCGCCAACGATTTTATAGAGCTTTTGAGGCAAAGTGGGATAGATTTCAAGAAAAACAATGAGAAGGGTATTGATGCGAAGAGGTTCGGTGAGCTTTTGATGTCTTCGGGTATTGTTTTGAATGATAATGTGCATTGGGTTACTTTCCATAGCGGCTACGATTTCGGGTACTTGCTTAAGCTCTTGACCTTCTGGGATTTTCCCTATACGCAGGCCGGCTTCCTTAGTATGACAACCATTTACCTTCCCACTTTGTACGATATCAAGCGTTTGGTGAAGTTTTGCAGTAGTCTGCACGGTGGATTGAACAAGGTCGCCGAGTTGTTGGAAGTCGAAAGAGTCGGTATTTGTCATCAGGCAGGTTCGCCGGAAGAATATTCCGGCATGTTATACGGTTTAGGTGCTTAGAGTGGACAGAGTACGCAGTCGCAGTGACAATGAAAAGTAATAGAAACTAGAAGAAATGGTTTGCGTACGAGTGTGCCTTATATATATATTATTTAGTTTTAGTGGTGTTTAAACTCGGTTTTAACCGAATTAACTGACATAATTAACCGAATAAATAAAAAATATTAAATATTTAATATATATTACTTATATATTATTTAAATTTCGATCAATTCGGTTAATTGATCAATTAACCAAACTTAGTTCGATTCGGTTAATTTTTTAAAAAATTCTTCGGTTAACTTGAAGGAAAAAAATTTGGTTAATGAAATTTGGATAATTCGGTTTAGTCGGTTAACCGAATTACCCGTTTGAACACCCCTACTAATATTTACGTTTTGATTTTATTTTGGTGATACTGACGTGTCACTATAAGATAGTGTCACGTTATCATTGAAAACAAAAATAATGTCACTTAATCAATTTTGTTAATTTTTTAACTGCGAGTGTTTAAAATAAAATAAAAACGTAATGTTAGTGATGATTTAAAAAATAACTGGATGATCATAACAGAGTGACCATAAAATAACCAAAATGATAATTGGATAACTAAATATGTAGTTTACCCTATAGTTTATTTAAATTTATGAAAGTAATTAAATAAAGGGTGAATTACACATTTAGTACATAAACTATCAGTTTTGATTAGTACCTAAACTTTCATTTTTTAAAATCATACCTAACATTTAGTTTTTATTTTAATTTAGTACCCGTCCTTAAAAACTTAATGGACGAGCTCAATGGTAGCGTCGTTTACAATCGTCGGCCATCTCATCTGTTGGTTGATGAAGTCTAAACTTTTCAGCTTGAACCTTTTCGACTCGCTCAATGCAATTTTGACATCTTTCTCATAGAAAAACTACTCGATCTCCCTAAAATCGATGATTGACTCTTTAATTTCTTCATCATTCTATCTCCATGGTCCACATTTCGATGGGTTTGAAACTAGACTATGTTGGTCGACTCGTCATTCTCTGCGGTCTACCGTTCGGATTGGTCGTTTGTCCACCAGAGCTATGTCAAAACAACCTGTCCATTAAGTTTTAACGATGAGGTACGAAAATGAAACAAAACTAAACATTAGAATGATTTTGAAAAAAATGGAAGTTTATGTACTAAAATAAACCAAAACTAATAGTTTTGGTACATAACTAGGGGTGGGAATAGGCCAGGCCAGACTTTAATAGGCCTGAGCCTGGCCTATGATGATATTTGTAGGCCCGGGCCTGGCCTATAGCATGTCAAAAGCTTTTATTTAGGCTCGACCTGGCCTGTTTAAAAGCCTGACATGTTTAAAAGTCTGTTTCACAATAAACATTTAATATTTCTAGTTTAGTTACTAATTTTAGAGTAAAGTCTCTATTAAGTCACTCTAACTTAGCGTATTTTACAAAGTAGTCACTTTAAATAGGCCAGCCTATCAGGTTTATAAGGCATTTTAATAAGCCTAAGCTTAACCTATTTAATTTAATAGGCTTTTAAAAAGGCTCGAGTCTGACCTTTTTATTAAATAGGTCAGGCCAGACTTTATATAAGCTAGGCCGTAAGCCCCTGTAGGCCGACCTGACCTATTCCCATCCCTATACTTAAGCCTTAAATAATTTTTCAAATAAATAAATACAAGAGTAAAGTATATAAATAGTCTTAGGACTTTTAGGGTACTTGCATTTTGGTCACCAAACTTTTGAAACTTAATACAATTATCGAAGTTTTAGGTAATGTGACACATAACTCCCGTCTTCTTATTCTTCTTCTTCTTGAAAAAAGAATCATGGAATAATGGTATTCGGACAGCTCAAAACATGTCGACTTCACTTTTATGGAAAAAATCCGACCCGTTGCTAGTTTCAAATGTTCGGTTTCAAATGCTCCGGTAGTTCTTAGGTAATGTGCAGGAGGTCATTCTTGGTACAAAGCTTGATGTCCTCTTCCCTGCTATCCCTTTGGCCATTGTTTCTGTTTTCTACAAGCTTGGTAGAGTAAGTAGTTAAACCATGTTTACGATTATTGTAGAAAATAGCAATCGCAATTCGATGTTATCGTTATTCTTTTACTTGATATGTTCGAAGATCATTGGATATTTGCTTTGAGTTTGCTTGGACTTACGCCGCTTGCCGAGTGTGTGAGCTTCCTCACTAAGTTATTGATCTCCTCCTTGGTCTTGGCTCCTCTCCCCTTTGTGGTGGCATAGCCAACCTCGAGAAGGAGCAAAAGATATGACAGAGTAAACCCCACACACCGAGAGAGAAAAAATATAAATGGAAGAGAAAGTATGGGTTAATTAAGGAAAAGTTGTGAAATGAAAAAAATGCAGAAGCAAGCAGATGCGAACTCGTTGCTGCTGCTGTTGTTGGGATTGCTTTGCCTCATGTGCCACTGATGTTCAGATATGCGGCAGCGCCAGATGTTTTGGTTGCTGAGTCTACACTACCATTGTTGAAACAATGAAACCCCGAAACAGATACCCAGAAAAAAGAAAGAAAGAAAAACTCAGAAACAGAAAGGTGAAAACATGGACAAAGATGGTGGAATTTAAGCGATTCAAGAAGCACAGGGTGAGAGAGAGAAGAAGGGGAGACGTAGGGTTTTATAGGTGAGATTTTGTGAGGAGGGGAGGAGGAGTTAACCGAAATTAAGTGTCGTCAACAAAAACGAACGGGAGACTTCACTTAAAATGGACTAAAGCTTCAATGATTGTATTTCAAGTTCTAAAAGTTTAATGACCAAACTACAAAGAACCTAAAAGTTTAGGGACTATTTGTATACATAAAAACCTCAAAAATTTTCGGATCAGGATCTAAACTATAAATACAATAGAAGGAAGGTGAATTGGGGATTACGCAACATCACAGATTTGCCGTTGGGATTTTGGGTTGGAGAGAGGGAGCAGACGGTATATCTCTGTCTCTCCAAACAACCGCTAAACCCCCCAACCCCCTCCCTAAAAACGAACCATTTTCAGCCCTCCGATCCCCTTCAATTCTATATTCTCCAAGGATTTTGTGAGAAATATTCGAAACAAGAATTTATTAAGCGATTGATCTGCGGTTAATGATGGAGGTGCCTATCTCATGGGATGCTCTACGCAAACAGGTTTGTTGATCTTTTTCTTTTTTCATTTTTTCGCATTTTTTTGGTGTTTAATTGTGTTTGACTGAAAACTCGGGTAGAGAATAACCTAGGATTTTGTAATTCTGTTGGATTTGATTGATTAGGTTTCAATTGTCGTGGAATTTTGGATTCCTTCTCGATGTGCTTGAGTTTTCTTGTTGGAATTTGTTGAAATAAAATGGAAATCTTGGATCTTGATCTATTGGCCCTGATTTACCGCCTTTTGAGGGTGATTGTATAGAGGAACAAATAGAGATTATGGATTTACTGTTCATAGAGAAAAGGAATTCTTTCTGTTTATTGGATCTTTTTTAAACTAATTAGAGCCTCAACAAAGAATCACAGTTTTATAAAAGCTTGTTGCCTTTTCTGTTTGTTTGCTTATTTTTGAAATTCCGAGTTTCGTTACCCTAAAGTAGTGTGTTTTGGCAACTCATTAAATGAATGATCCAGTCTAAGGCGTGTGTGGAATTTAGTTTCATTCTATTTAAACAGAGATGTGTTGGTGTGTGTGTTGGGGGGGGGGTTTCAAATTTTGTTTTGCCAAGAATGGGGGTTTACCTGTGAAGAGGAAATGCTGGAATTTCCTTTAGACACTGATGAAGATAAATGTTGTTTTTCTTTGTTGAAGTATTCATTTTAACTTCTGGTTTTGCTGAGTAGTTGATGTTGCAAAATAAAACTAAGGGCAATTTAACCTTCTGTCAAGTTACTTGCCAACAACTAGAATTGGGAGTTATTAATGATGTCATTAAGTTCAATCTAATGATGTATAGGTGTTTGATTAGTTTGTTATCTTACCTGGTGTGGATGAGAGTGATAGAAGATACAAGTTTATTGATTATGTTCCCTGAATAAGGTAAACAGAATTTCATCCAAAAAGTAAATGGATGGCTTTCCATGGTGGTCCGTATAGCTTATATAACTGGTTCAACAACTGACATTACTCTAGACAGGGTTCAATATGCATTTAAGGATAATCTATATAGGTTAATACTGGAAAGTATGATTTGGGTCCCAATATCAAAGTTTTTGGGAAACAGGTGCCTCATAAATTTCTTTTGGGAACATTTATCTTCACCTTGTAGTCTTTTTCTTGTTAATGCCCATTTTCAATTATATTTTCAAGTTGTATATGCAATTCATTTGACATCATTCAATTTGTGGCATTGGGATTTTTCTATCGAATTACATTTTTTGGGCATTAAGAACCTTTTATTTTCCCAAATGACAACAAATATATCCTGAAATGGCAATAATTGTTTTATGAATAAGTTTGTTCACTATTGTTGCAGGCAAGGAAACTTGAAGCTCAATTGGATGAGCAGATGAATTCATATCGTAAGTTGGTTTCCAATAAGATTTCGACCAAAAATGACTCAGAAGAGAATGATATTGAGTCTGGTATAGACCGGTTACTAAAACAGCTACAACATGTAAATATGAAAATGCAAGACTGGGTCTCATCTGGTGGATCTGAAATGGTTTCTCATACCTTGACAAGGCATCAGGAAATTCTTCAAGATCTCACTCAGGTACTGTTTTTTATAACATATTTTTGTTTTTGTGTCTGCCAAACAATCATCGTCCTTTGCTTTTTCATTTTTGTCCCTGTAAGGCAAGCCTTTACCCCTTCTCTCTTTCAGTTTAAAGCTAAAACAAAAGTGGCTTCATGTCTCCCAGCCTGTTTGGAAACCAAAAATAAAAGCAAAGAAGAGATTAAGAGCATTTATAGTGAATGTTAAATGTCACATATCTTATTCTTATACTGGAGATACTCCAAGTATGCTTTGTCTCCACAACCATTTCTTTTTTGTACCCTGCATACTAGTTTAGTTAGACATCTTCATTAGTCTGTAGACACACTCATAGGCTTTTAACTTTCTGTATGCACGTTTTGGAAGCTCCAAATATACGTTTTTTTTCTATGAAAACTAACCTGATGTTCGACCCAATTTAAGTGCAGGAATTCTATCGTCTTCACTCTAGCCTTAGAGCTAAACAAGAACATGCTTCACTATTGGAGGATTTTAGGGAGTTTGATCGGGCTAGATTAGATTTGGAAGAAGGTGTGGATTCCACAGAACATGCTCTAATTAAGGAAAATGCAGCCATCAGCCGGAATACAGGACATGTATGTAAGATTAATAGTAGTTAACAATATCTTGTTTAAGTATGATTACATTACTTCATTCCTTATAGAGAAATGCCTTAGATGTCAGTTAATGATGGATACTTGGTGTTTAATAATAAATTGATTAGTAATGAGATTGAGGAGAGACAAATGGAAGAAAAAGAACTCTGAATAATATCATGGATTTAATGGTGGCTCTTTAGGTGGGTATGCATTTGTGTCATCTTCTCATTTATAATACCCTCATTCCTCTTTCTTCATTTTGAGGTTTAAAAGGAATGGTTTACAGTTGGCTACCAGTCTGAAGAAGTTATGATAAGGTTGATCATCATCACCGCTTTCACAAGTTTGTCAGAAAATCTTTGAGAATTTAATATGTATTCTCTGTAGATCTATTTTGCAGGTGTCATCTCATTCAATTAATTAGTGAATTTCAACATTTGTGTTTTTTACATGAAGATTATGACTTGCGAAGTATTTGATAATTGTTGTTCGGGAAGATTCAGAGTTAGAGAAGTATACATTGACTCTTAAAAAGTAATGAACATGTCAACTTCCTAATATAGAGAGGGTGAAATCAAAACTTAGTAGTGCCTAACAAAGTTTAACTTGGCTTTAAATTCTTGACCTAGTCCCTGTCTTTTTTTATGTGTCAGACTAATCTTTAACCTTTAGAAGCAAGTAGTCATATTAAAGTGGCCTTTGTTTGCCTTGTTTTGTGTTTTAGTGCCACCTGCTTATTTCTATCTGAAAATTATTTTTATAATTTTTCTGGTGAGATGTGTAATGAATTGAAGTTTTCTTACCAGCTTGATTTATTTTTAATATTTACATATGATTTATTTTTAATATATGTTTCTTACCTGTTATATGTACCCATTTTTAGTACAAGTCTCTTTTGAGTTTATACTTATACTAGAAGATAGAAATCCATTGTTCATATTTTTCATCTTTCCAAAGAAGAAAAACCATCATTATTGTTGCGATTTGCAGATGCAAAATCTAGGCAACTTTCAAGCTTCCTGTTAACTGATTAGTACTTTGTCAACTATCTGTCATCACTCTTAGTTCATATTAAGTTGCCAACTAAAATCTGGTTTTGTAGATGGATAACGTAATTTCACAAGCTCAAGCAACACTTGGTGCACTTGTTCTTCAACGTTCTACTTTTGGAGGGATTAATTCAAAGCTCGGCAACATTAGCAGCCGTCTACCAACGGTATGAATACTTGCTAGTGTTTCTAGTAATGTTTCAAGCTGCATACATTTATTAGGTACTTTAATAAGCTAGTGTTTTCAATTGCTTTATCATGTTTCGACCGATACATGGTCATGTTGGATGATGCAGGTAAATCAGATTTTGTCTTCAATAAAGAGGAAAAAGTCTATGGATACCATCATTCTTTCTCTGGTTGCATCTGTATGCACATTTCTCATCTTCATCTACTGGTTGAGCAACTGAACAATGTACGTATCTATGTATGTATGCATGCATGTATTTTGTGTTGTTGGCCAACGATTGTGGTGAAACAATTTTCATCCGAGGTTTGATGCCGCCCTCGTATAGAGATAGGAAGGGGTGTTATGTTATGTTGTAAGTTGATATTTGACATTTCTAGTGGGCACTGCATGTTGCCTTCACTATGGGTTTCCCAGTATATAGGTGAAAATTCAACATTCACATATGCTTAATTTCATTTTTTCTTTTCTTCCCCCTTGGGCATCATCCATGTTAAATGAGTAAAAGCTACAAATAAAAGATCATTTCATTTCTTCTTTTTTCTTGATTATGATTTCTTTGCATGTGACGGAGGGCCTAATTGAATATATGTATGCATGTAAAGCGATGACATGTGATGTGACAATGTAGAGAATTTTACCACTTTGTTACTATGTATCTTTGGGGTTGAAATGGATTGTTTTGCACAATGATTTCCATATTGATTTTTCCATGCATAAGATTTAAATCCAGTATTCTTTTTACAACGGAAACTGAATTTTATTAATGAAAACAATGAAATAGATCAGAATTACAATGCACTCGGAGAAAATTAGGGATAATTGTCAGAAAAACAACTCATACATAAAACAAAAATTTTAAATATAAAGATACGAAGAAAAAACGAAACTTTTCATTGAGAATAATGCCCAATATCAAAAGAATTCAGTATCTTTCATAAAATTATGTCTATGTCGAATGAGACACATTATGAACATGATAAAGGAATGGTGTGTGAATCAAACAATTTGATAAGTTATTTTTCTATATAATTCTGATTATACCGGTAAACATAAAAAAAACAAATGTCGTGAGGATATATACTATCACATGCATGAGAAAAACGTATCTGATTACTTTTGGTGTTCGAACATCGCGCGTGTAAGAGTATGAGTGTTAATTATTTATTGGCTAAAGCAAGGATTGGTTACGACTAACTCGGCTCCTTTCATTAGCTTCTTTTGGTGTTTAAATTATCTCTGTTTTCGTTTCTGGTTTGGTGCTCGATCTTATCTGATTACTTTTAGGATTGTATTAACATTATGAAATCTATATATAATATCGTTAGACACTCTTTTTCTCTTTCTGCTAGCTTATTACTAAGTTTTTTTATTAGTTATAAATTAAGAGGGAAATTTTTAAGAAGATCCTTATTCTTATAAAAAAAAATCGATCTTGTATTCCTCCTATATTTATATGGTTCAAACTATATTGACACCACCATGCATTTAGTTATATTATATCATGTTAATGACACCGATAAACATTACTATATTTATAAGGTTTGGAGGGTTCAGTTTACATTGAAACATTAAAAGAGATTTGTTATCAAATAATCTTTAAAATATATTGTTTTTATTCAAGACAGCCAAATAGATGTTTTATTTTGAATCAAGGAGACATACATGTCACACCATCACCAGAGCAAATGCGACGAGTATTGGTGTATTCTATTCAGATATTTCCATCAGAACATTTGATTGCATATCCCAATCCGAAGAAATTTAATATCACAAGTTCCTACGCAACATTGATCATCGTTCAAGCAAATATTCCGGGAACAGGCATAATCGTAACCCTCGTCCCATGGGAGGAAATTGTTGCTGGTCCGAACAGCCGTGGCAATCGGAGTGGCTGCAATTAAAAGAACCACAGCCATTGCAGCCAAGAGTGAAGCAAACTTGTTGGATTCCATTTCTTATAGCAATTTGCTTATTGGATTACTCGTTGGAGTTTTGGTGAGTCTTTATCGTCACCCAATACTCCTTTATATAGTCGAGCAAATGTAATAAATGTCACATTTACACGAAAATTACAAACGGATCAAGTTATAAAACATTCATTAAATGAGTTTCGATGTGTTGTCCTTGAGATATATCATGGATTGGTGGTAACGTAGGTTTTAATATATCTAAATCTGATAGTATGGAAACTTACGTGATATTAAATGAGTTTCAGTTGTTTTGATTGCTTTCTTGTAATAACTTCATTACATGTCGTTCTCTCTCGAAATACAAGCCATGCAAACCAAGAAACCACATACTCTTTCAGAGATGCTCGATCCTTCAACGCCCAGAAACAGAAGCCTCGTAGATGATATCAAGCTGCAAGGTGAGAAGCAGGTAAAACTACAACCAGAGCAAGTCGGCATGAGGAATTCTCAGGAGTTCACGGTCTTCGTTAACATCCCAGAAAGATTCCACTGGAAAGGTCTGTGGCTGTTGTTTGGGAAAGTCGGTGAGGTAATTGATAGTTTCATACCAGCAGAAAGGGACAGAAACGGATCTAGATATGGATTTATTAGATTCAGGAGAAGTGAGGAAGCAATAAATAACTTAAATGGATACATAGTTCAGGGAAGCAGACTCACGGTATCTATGGAAAAATTTACAAGTAGGGATTAGTATTGCAGGAGGAGGAAAACTCATATGGATCAGATAAAAGCAGGTAAGCGAAGGCAGTGGGGAAAGGAAAACGCTAAAGATCTTCATGGGATTATTAAGAACAATGTCAGAAAGGAAAATACGATCTCAGGTCCAAACAAAGTTGCTGGAATTAACTCAGTAGATGAGAGTAGAAGAAGAACCACTGGGCATGTTGAAGAAGAAGAACTCGGGAAACTGAACAAGTCTTTGGTTGGTAGAACAACAACGGTATGTAGCGTCAGTAGCATCAACCAAAGATTGCAAGAGCGGGGTTTAGACAAAATAAAAGTGCTAAGAATAGGAGGTAAATCTTTTCTGTTGGCAATAGAAGATGAGGATTTACTTCTAATGCTTGAAGACCTCAACTGGTCGTATTTGAAAGAAATCTTTGAGGAGATAAAGATGTGAGAGGAGGATTTGGCGGAAACGGGAAGAGCAACCTGGATTGAAGCTCTGGGATCCCTTTGCCATGTTGGAACAATACTACATTCAAAGAATTGCAGAACTCTGGGGTTCGTTGGAGGCGTTGGGTGAAAATGCAAACCAAATCATAGATGGAGAAAAAGAATCCATGCTAATTTTCACTAATCACGTGAAGAGGATTGAAGAATCAGTGGACATTGAAGTGGAAATCTGGTTCACAACATAAGGGGTGTTTGGTTCAAGGAATGTGGGATTCCCATTGGTTGACCGGGAATCTCATTCCCGGTAATGTTTTATTACCAATAGTAGATTTTTTGGGGTATATTACCGGGAATGTCATTACCTCCCTTCCCTTAGGTATTGTAACATTACCGGCGTTTTGGACTAAAATGCCCTTAAATTTTTATTTTTTTTCAAAAATATCCTTCTTCTGTCATTGAATAATAAAAATTCTACGAATGTTAAATTACAAATTTATCCTTAAATTATTTTAGATTTACAAAAAAAGTCTATAATTAAAATTTTATATGAAGTTTAGGGGTTAAATTTTTTTTACCCTTTCATTAAACATTTTTTATATTTTTAATTTTGTAAAAAAATTATATAATATTATGAATTTAATTTTTTAAAGAAAATATATAAATATTTTACAATTTGTAATATTATACAAATATATAATAAGGACAATTTGGTCAAATATACATTCCAATAATCTTTTATTCCTTTGACCAAACACGGTAATCTTACATTCCTTCTAAACCAACCAAACACAAAATACAACATTCCCAGTAATCATATTCCCTGGTAATCTTTTATTCCCACTGGTAATCTTACATTCCGTGAACCTAACGCACCCTAAGAGTAAACCAGTATAAAGGAATGGTAAGCAAGGGAGAGAGTTCTTCGGCAAAACATTATTCGAGCGATCAAAGTAGGGAGAGAGCTACCTAACCCATACATGAAAGCCTAGATCTGCCACTGAACCTAAACCTAAATCTTAAGTACATGAAAGTCTTATAATGTATTTAAAAAAAATACATATAAATGTTAATATTATTAATAGTTTGGTTGAAAAAATAATTATTTTTTCGAGTCGGATATTAAGTATTTTGCTTCGACGCATTAAGAATTCAAGTTGAGTTCATTCAATTTGAATATCAATCAAAGTTTTAACTCGAATTCTGTATCTCATTTACGGCTCAAACCTTAAGGCCTATATCAGTATATTTTTCGAGTAAAAAAATTAAAATATGATCTTTTATATTAAAATTGATTAATTTATTCCGTTTCACAAAATTGCACAAAAATGAATTCGATTTATTTCAAGTTTATTTTTCGTTTCGAAAGTCGTAATGTATTGTGCTACCTAAATAATTTTCACTTTTCATGCCCATTCTACAAAAGACGTTCTTGAATATCGATACGAGTACAAACATTTCTAAAATATACTGATATAGACATTCTAAAAATAAAAGATTTTACTGAAAATGATTAAAAACTATAAACTAAGGTGAAAAATATAATGAAATTAACAAAAATAAATAAATGTAAAACCAACACAATGAATAAAAAAAATATTTCCTACTTCCACATTCATGTAATTATTATACTTCAATAATCAAAATAAGATTAACTCTAAAATTTGAACCATCAACCCATTGAACAAAAACAAAAACAAAAATTTGAACCTCTAACCTCTTTAAAATTTCATGAAAGCAGGTTGCACTGTGATGTACTCTGCTTCTGAAAGTTTTACACGCTACATCGGCTTACCGGTTCAAGTTCTTGGAATCCGCAGTGTCCCTGAGACCAAGCTTCGAGAGAGTTAAACAGTAGGAATCCCAGTCGGTTCTTCGGAGATACTTCAACAGCTTCTTCCTCTTCTGCACCATTGCTAGAAGACCTTTTCTTGAGTGCTTATCCTGTACAACAATGATTCATTATAATGATAAATTTATCTTCTACTTCAGACTGAAAAGGCAGTAGATCTCGGCTTCAGATGAACAAATTTCTTGCTTTAATGATGATCTGAGGTTGCGGTGGGGCATGACTAAGCAAGAAGAGTAATACAAACAAAGGGCATTGCAATTCTATGCCATCTCCATGCAAAATAACAATAGTTCAACTCGCAATTTTAAACCTTGTATTAGATATCTCCAGACACGAATGTAAAAAAATCGAATTTATTATTTCAAAAATGAAACCACTAACAGCAAAGGATAGAACTAGCATTCTTGGGAGGAAAAGTATATAAAAAAATTATTCATGAACACTTTTTTATCATGTATCCTTGAGAGATCAAGCTTCTTGCCCTTTTTCATTTTAACACAGAATATCAAGTTAAAATAATCTGAAAACCTACAAGATGCTGATCAATCAGCAAAAAGTAAAAAGCCATCTTGTAATCCGTTCTGACTTCGACCACA